GGCTGCTTTTTGTACACCTCCAGTTCTGGGCACCAGGGGACTTTTGTTTGTTTGTTTGTTTTATTGACAAGAATGACTTGGGTTTTGATGAGACTACTGACGACATCCTTAAACAAACACAAAAAACACAGGAGCTTCAGTTCAGTAAACAATCTCCCCTTAACCTCTCAAGAAAATGGCCATGCAGTAATTTCAAGGTTTGAACAATGGATAGACTTCTTGAATTTAGGGAGACACTGACACCCAAGATGGGAAAACAAAAACATACAACTGAACAGTTAGCATTTTCTCACATGTCATCAGATCTTAAAGTTCATCCTGGCACCGACATAAAGGAGCAATGATTTCCTCGGCAGCCTAACAGATGGCAGGCACGAAATGGCTCTAATCTTCTCCGAAAATGCTGGAGAATAGCTCCATGGAGTTTAACAGGACGTTGGCTGCGATTTCCTGTCTGCTGCCTCCTGCACAGCACGCCTGTCCAGAGCCCGAACAGCTATATCTGAAGGTCCAGCAGTTATTCAAGTTCCCCCTTCAAGACAAGCAAGGGTCTTGAGTTACTATGGGATGTTTTTTCTGCATGGAATCCTGTTCCAATAAGCGCAGCTCAAACTTCGACCATAAAGCAAGCTGCACCATGGTGGAGTTCTAACCTCTCTTTTCTTCTCTCAGCATTTAGGAGACACTGGAGCTCTTTTTTCTTAGAGAGCAAACATTTTTCTGAAGTGCTAGAGGCAAAACATTAGAAAAGAGGGATCACATATTGCAAACTACCTTTCCAGCTAGCTTCTAAGGGTTACCACTTATGGGAGAACAGACAGAACTTCTGAAGTTGATCGGAATCACTGCTTATGGCTTCAAGATTGCGTAGGGAGCTATATGCAATCTTGATGGCAGGGCTGCAACCTAGAAGTTCTAGGGGTGTGACTCATGCATCAGTATTTTTTAAAGCTCTCCCTGGAAACCCAGGAGGTTCCAACTGGCAGTCAAGGTATGCAAGAAATACTGCATTTTACATGTTCAATATAGCACTTTAAATTTCCATAAATTATTTCTATAAGTTAACTTAATTTCTATTGAGAGTCCCTATCCCATTGGGTTTATCCTTCTTAGAACTCCACCTCTCCACCTGCCTCAGTCTCTCCAAGGCTCGTGTTAAGGTTCTGGGGTTTGCAGAGTTAGCCAGCAGTAGCTGGCATGCCTTGCCCAAACAGACATCAGGAAAATAGATGCCGATACTGAAGCCCTGAATTCATGGATGTCCTGAGACCAGGATGTAATAGTCAGAACTGAAAGTAAAAGACATTTATGCCTGAATATCCTGTATCCTGCAATTGTTATGCACTGCAAAGCTGCTACATGGCTTGCCACGTGGCTCAGATGAGATGGTCTCGTGCAGGGCAGCTCCGCCCTTCTGTATATAAGGCTGGGCCTAGAGAGAACAGGGTTTCTTCCAAAAGGTATGATGTGCCCCTCACTAATTCAGTCATTATCATCTACAACTGTGCAATCTGCTGGTGAGGCTTTGGGGCCACCAAGCTACACATTTTTGTGCTGATCTCTCCACTGTGCATCCTGTGCTGACTTTTTCTGCATCCATTAAATGAGTAATCATCATATGATTTACCCAAGAGGTAACTGTGTCTGGTCTTACCGTCAACTGGTGCCCATTACTGCCATCTGTCAGTATAATGATGGTGCAAGACTTCTGAAAACCCGCTTGTATCAAGTCAAAAGAGAAGACAAATCCTGCCTTTCTCTTGCATACAGTAGGTGCTCAATGAGTAGTGGTTATACTAAGAACTCTACCCCTAAAGGCATCAAGGCTCTAACAAAAAAAGGCATTATAGGATTTGGACAAGGCATTTTGGTAATAAGGCACAGAAATCCAAACACATTCAAGTAAAAAATGGGCAAATGAGAGGATAAAGGCAAATCTCAAGGAAATAAAATACAGAACGTATAGTTGAACCTCACAAGTCAAAAAGCAGCTGCTCTGTCTCTCCCTCCCTCTTTGGAATCACCTGACTTCATGCTGCTGTATGTCTGTGCTGTGCTTGTCTTCTCCCTCTGCAGACCCTAGTCCTTTGCTCCGTTAGCACATGGCCTACTATGGTTACCCAATAAGAGTGACCTCCATTTATCTCTGGGATAAACTTTAATGGCTCACCTTAGGGGAAGTGGGGCGCTAACATCAAATGGCTGCTATAACACCCTCATCTGAGGCCGCTGAAAGGACCGGAGTCATTACAACCAATGATAAACACAAGCTCTGCTGAGCTATGTGATACCCAAAAGAAATTAGAATTCACGCATAAATATTAGTCATAATGCTTTTATTTCAGAATGACTGCAGGAATGAATTTCATAGGTCTGCAACTAATTTATAGCTCCAAATCACAATACTTAATCAAAAAACACATTCTCCTTCACAAAAACTTGGCCTGAGAGATGTGATTTGAATTTTAATCTATTTAAGTTTTACACTGTAGAATTGTACATATAAAAACACTAATACAATAGGGAGAGACAACGGCTTAAAAATCAAGAGAAACCACTTATAGCAACGTCTCACTTATCTTGAGGTTACATATCTGACGACTGAAGTTTGAGAATCGGGAAGTAAGTTAGAAGGAGGAAGTAGAGCCACTAAAATAATGTCACTAAGTCAATGCAGCAACGGTCATTCACTTAAACTGCTAGAAAAGCCTCTGAAACCCTCACTCGGATCCTATTTACTATTACTTGACATATAGTATGCAATTACATGATTTCCCAGCTCCATACAGCAAATGAGAGGAAAGTTCCTACAGGAAGGCAGAGTGTTGGCAGAAACAACATAACCATGCAAGAAAAGAAAAACTATAAAAACCACTGCAGAACTCCAAGAGCAGAGCCTTTTGGGGCCATTCGGTGTAGGGGCTTGAAGAAACCTAAACAGGACCTGACAGCACTAAAAATAGAAATAGTGACCCTGAAAAGATTTCATTATCTTCAGTGGATTCTGTTTTGCGAAAGCAGGGAAGCATACACTAAATTAAGAGTGTTCCATGTAAATGGTTGAAATAAAACAAAAAGGGGGAACAACTTAAAAGGCTGTCTATACTATCCATGTACCCACGATGTCTGATAAATGAGATATTACTATGCACATACTACTTTTGAAATGCACAATTTATGTTAAAAACAACACAGCACCTTTTTTCCATCCACATATGAATGAAACCATAACAGCCCCTTTGTGGTAAAACACCTCAATCACGTAGGATTAGCTTAAGTCAGCTTCTCTCCGCGTTAAGAACTTTATACTGTATTCTGCGTGATCAACTCTATTGATCAGCGGGCCCAACTGACTGCAAAACTTTCACAAATGATGGAAGATGTGGAGGCCAAAAACACCTCCGCTAAATCAGCATTTCTCAAAATAGAGCCTGTGGAACAGCAGAGCTAAATCTCCTGGTGAACTCGTTTTAAAATGCAGATCCGCTGGTGCCCACTGAAATGTCACGAATCACTAGGGGAGGGCCTGGACACCTGCATTCAGCACCCTGCCTCAAGGGTATCCGGTACAAGTAGAAGTCTAGGGCTCACTGTGGTGAATCAACACTTTGCAGTGCAGGCTCAGCAACCCAGTCAGGAGATTGGGTGTGTGAATTAACCCCCTCCCACCCTCATTCCACCCTCAACCCAGTCAGGAGATTGGGTGTGTGAATTAACCCCTTCCCACCCTCATTCCAACAGGCTGCACTGGTTTTGACAATTCTTATACTAGATGGCAGATAAAAAAGAAAATAAAGTTAAATGTGGGGTTCTAAATGTTTTATCACGAGGAAGGAATTCTGACATGTAACAGAAAGGAACTCTAACAAGCCCTAATTAATTTTTAAAAGACTGTAAGATTTTTAAGTCGTAGATGTGAAGTCTGAAGCAATGGATACCAGCAAGAGAAAAAGAGAGTGAGGGAAAAAGTGCCTGATGCGAGTCCAGAGGGTTACGTGGAAACGGGAGGGAAATATACCTAACAGTAGTCTTGGGGGAAGAGGCAGAATACAGCTAACATCCAGAAGAGGGAAATGCGAATCTATTAAATATTGGCTGGGATGTTAAGGATGATCCATAACACTCTTGAAACAGAGCCTGGACACTCCTGGCAAACATGTTATTTTTTGGTCAGCACAATATTTTTAACAATTCTGAATTTGTGGCCAACGTGTAAACGTTTAAAAATTTTTTAAATTCTCTCTTTTCCTGGAAAATTGGAAATTGAAAGAACCATGGCAACACTGTGCTGGAGCTCTTTCGCCAGGTGTGTGCTCCTGGGGTCTCCCCCGTGGCCACCGGCCTGCTTCACTCAACACATCACCTGCCACCCCCGCAGGCATCTGCACTGGCCACTCCAGCTCCAAGGAATTAAGGCAAAAATTCAGCCTCTCTGTGCTTCACTATTTCTAGTTCTAACAAAAATTCTTACTACAAAGATCCTTTCCTATCTCAGAATTGTTAGGCAAGAGATCAAATAATGTCTGAAAATCACCTAGAATCCACTGTAGTGATCTCATCCTTAGCTGCCCGTTGGAATCATTTAGGGAAATTTAAAAATTCTGATACCTGAGTTCTCCCCAGAGATTCCGATTTACTGGCCTGGGATGTGGCCTGGGCATTAGGGTTGCACAGCTCCCCACGTGGTTCTAATGGACGGCCAACTCCTGCCTTCAGAGGATGCAAGTTGTTGAGTATGAAGCCTCAAGTTCTATTACAATGTCAACCTCTAAATACAAATTTCTTGCTTCTTACCTCCATGATAATTCACATCGCCTCTTATTTTGGGAAGTGGCAATTATTCCAAAAGCCTACAAAATGCCATTTACGAACTGAAAAAGTAGGTCAAAGTGTGTTGTGGTTTCTACCATTCATTTTCCCTCCAATATAATTGAAGAATGAGCACTAAAGAAATGAGAAGAAATTATCCCAAGAGACAAAAGTTAGGCAGCACAAATAGCTCAAATACAATAAGAGGCTCACAGTGGCATGCTTGTATTAAAAAAATAAAATACAATACAATTGCTTTGAAATTCATCAATGCACTAAGTGGAAATTTTTACAAATATTAAAAATAAAATTCTCTAAGATTTTCCAGTAATGGCCCAAATTTTATCTTAAGATGAACTCCAAATTATTGTCTCTCTTCAAGCTCTCTGTTAGCTAGCATGCATTTACATTTTGGCTTCCGATCATGGGAAATGCAAACTGCTGTCATCTAATTTTCAAATAGCAATACTACCTTATGTTACATTAAAAAAATACGTTTTCAAAATGGTTTCACATAATAATAATGGCTTCTATTTACTGGACTTCTACTATCACCAGGAATGCTAGGCTCTTTATATATACATGATCCAAAATCGGTCCAACAACCTCACAAAGTTAATTCTACCATTCCATTTTCCAGACTTGAAAAAATGAGCTTCGGAAAGATTTAAAATTCTGTATCGGTGAGGTGGTAAATGGCAGTGCTTAGATTCAAACCCAAGTCTATCTGTTTGATCCAAAACCTAGGCTTCCCATACTAAACTACACCCTGTTTAAAATCATCACAACCTACCGGTAGAAAGATCCATGCCCGATTATCCCCATTTGCCCAGTGGAAAACAGAGGTTATGATCTGCTGCATATCTCAGAACGAGTTAGCAGGAGCCACGCTTATAACCTGCCTTCCCACTCTCTAGCCCATGTTTTCTCACATGACCAAACCACAGTCCACACATTACATTATAAAAGCTATACTGATGGCAATTATATAGTACTTATGGGTAGAAATCAAATGTTCCTGATTCCTAAGAATCTTAAAAAGTATTACCAATAAGGCTTAGCTGCAACTTAGGTCTGGTACATTCCTATCTGTCCCAGGCCACCTGTTAATCAGGTATCTGGTTTGACTCCTTTATTTGTCCCAGAATCTGCTCATGAATCCTAAGAGCGATTTTGCAGGTCACATGAAGGCACAAGCACCGCTCTCCAGGCCCGTCCTCAGCTGCCTTGATACCATCACCAGGCAATCAGCAGGATGCCCTGAAGAAGGGCGACATCACCTTCTCCGGGTTTTCCCTTTACTTGTAAAATCGTAAAGAGACTGTGCCATAAAAATCCAACTAGAAAGTCTCAGCCAACGAGTGCTGCTATTTGACACTGGGTCCGAGGAGAGTGTATCATTTCATGTTCTGGCAGGAAGGTCTCCTCCTCTTTAAGGTGCCGACACCGATGCCGCATCCATAAAACCCGTATTTCAAAAACTGTGTCTTTGATGTGTTGTGTCCAAGAAGTGATTCTCGAGCAAAAGTAGACACAGCACAGCCTCCCTGCAAGAGAAAGCAAACAGGCTTTATCACCTCATAAACATGTCTCACCAATCAATACTTATTTGTCCTCATTTCTGCAGCAACTCTTAAGGGTTACTTGAGTTCTATCGCTATGGAAAATTCTTGACGAAACTGCATTTCTGACTCTTAATCATCTATGAGCAAAGCGAGCACCTCATTTTATTAAGTCCAGCTACCTAAAGGAGCAATTTCAAAGGGGAGTTAAGATATAGCTGAAACTGAGGTCTTAATCATTCTGATGTGAAAAAACTCTGCTATGCTATCCAGCCTCACCAAGCAGCCTCCCAATTGCCGGCAGCAAGAACAAACACATGTCAGGGCTATTTGTTTTATTCAAAAATGACAGGAAATCAAATATCTAACCAATGGACGTGTCAGCAGCAGCACCACAAGCATATTGGTTAGTGAGATTTATGCACCTCCAGTTTTGCTCATGACAAAATCACCTTCTAAGCTTTCTAACTGTCAAACGCCCACTTGCATACACAGGCCAGAAAGTTCTGGGGCATAGGTTTAAGGCAAAGTACCATACGCAACGTGGTCACATTCTATATGAATTTAAATCATGCCAAGTTGAAATGTGGTTGTGATATAGAAATAGTAAATAATGTTTCCTTACACACATTTGTGCAAACCCCACAGAACACTTTTTTAAAAGAAAGAATTACAAAAATCCAAAGCTGACAAACTGAATACATTGTCCAGAGCATCTATACCACCGCCACATCACAATGATACTTTATCTGCTAAACAAAATGCCTACATTTCCACTCCATTATGCACATACTTTAGAAGTTTATGAGCAATTTTAATGGTCACTCTTGCTGGTATTTTAACTTCTTTGTTGTGATCATTGTAATGCTTTTTTATGTCTTAAAATAACATCACCCAAGTGGTGATGGTAGAGCTAATGCAGAGAAAATAAACTTGTCACACTATTAACTTTTGGAATAGAGATAAGATGTGATCAAATGCTAGATAAAAAAGGCCAAACCACTACCACAAGGGGCCCTGATGTTAATTTAGGAGAGGGTCTGCTCTAATCCAGGACAGAAACCTTTTTCTTAAAGAATTAAACAGTAAATATTTTAGGCTTTGTAGTCTGTAAGATGTGTGTCACCATTATTCACTCTACTGCCATAGTCAGAACACAGCCAGGGAGCATAGCTGTCTTCCAATAAAACTTTATTTACAAAAGCAGACAGCAAGCTGGACTTGGCCTGCAGGCTACAGTTGGCCGATCCCTGCTCTATAGCTAGAGCGCTAATTCTCCGACCCCTTTCTTTTAATGTAGCATTTTACTGCTCGCAAAAGTGGCAGTTCTCCCATTTGTTGTCCAACCATTCTCTCATTTTCTATAGAGCAAATTTTGAGAAAATAAAAAGTTCTATTAAAACAGGCACACTTCAAGCTTGCAAAAACTTTGTAAAAATAGACAAGAAAATAGAATAAACTTTGGAAGCATAAGTTGGCAACAACACAGCAGCAACATGAAGGCCTCAAAAAGTTCTATATCATGTTTTGGTGATGCTTACATAGCTGTATACATCTGTCAAAACACACCAAAGTGTATACTTAAAATTGGTCAATATAATTACACACAGATAATACCGCAATGAAGCTGATTTTGAAAAAAAGCTTAAAGCCTCAGCAATAGCCTCTAATTTATAGTAATTGCAGATTTATGTGGTATACGCTCCTTACTTTACATTGGTTCCTTAGAGAAAACTAGTCATAAATTGTGAGAGTTTGGATTCTATAAATCCTTCAGGAACTCCACTGCATTAAATGCATTAAATGCAACTGTTCTGCACTAAATTCCTGGTAGTATCCAGACCTCGACCATGTCACTTAAGAGAGGAGAATAAGTTGCTTTTTAGAAACAACACAAAGCCTAGAATTAACGGTTTAGCTCTCAAGACAAACAAACAACAAAACAAGAACATGGGTAATTTAAGACAATAGAATAATGCTTGTTTAATTTCCTCATTTTCACTAGTAACATTTTAAATCAAAAACACAAACTAGTGGTTTAAAACATAAGTTGGTGTGAGTCGTGTCTCCTTTCTTTCGGTTGTCTTTGCTCCAGTGTGGAGCCTGTCAACATTCAATCAGAGAGCAAAAAAAAAAAAAAAAAAGACAAGCAAGAAGAGGCTGAGACACTAAAATCAAAGGAAAGCCATACAAAATCATCCCTCTGATTAACCTAAAGTCGATAGAATACGTGACAACAATTTCAAACAGCAGGTAATAGCTTTCTTGGTGCCCTTGCATGTACTCTGTCTCCACTCAGAGATGAGACTCATTTAAAGCAATGGTTCCCAAAGTGTGGTCCCTGGACCAACAGTAGAAGCATCACATGGGATCTAATTAGAAACACAAATTCTTGGGCTCCACCTAGACCTACTCAATCAGAAATTCTAGGGGTGGGACACAGCAACCTGTGTTTAACAAATCATTCGGATTATGCTGAAGCTCACTGAAGTTTCAAAATCCCTAACTTAAAAGTTGAAAACCAATATATAGTCTCCCATGTATGTTGCGTCTCCTTATTTTCTTATTTAACGTGGAGCTGACTCAAGATCTCACTCTCCAGGGTAAGATGGAATTGTGCCCAAGTGCGCAAACACTGGAGGTGCTTAGTGAGCCTGGAAAAACAAGGAGATGTGGCCAAGTTCTTCTCTACAACTTTTCAAAGAGCAGAGTGGATGTAGGAGCACGCAATACTTAAATTCCTTTCCAACATTTTTTGAGCACCTGCCATACACCATGCCTGAGCTAAATGAAATTATCTTGTTTCCTCTTTCCAGTAATAAATAAATCCATTAGTACATATTAAATATACAGAGGCTTAGCATTAATTAGAATGGGGTCAAACTCACAAACAAGCAGAAACACTTTTATAATTCTCAAATTCTCACTCAGAGGTATGACCAGCATGCTTTGAATGCTGAGGTACTTGCATATAAATATTTCTTTTGCTTCTACTTGGGTTACTTGTGCTCAAACTTCATCATATATCACAATTAGAGTACCAGGTTGCTTATACAAAACCATGTGTACTATAGTTTTAAGCCAACAAAAGGAAATTTGAGGTAATTCTGCATTACCCAAAACAATGCTTGCTGTACTTAACCGGCTTACCTTTTCTTGGATATTAAATATCCAATAAATTTGACAAGATGCAAATCCACTATATTCATTTATTTTATGAATTCTCTCTTAAATAACTTTGTTCTGCCTTTTCTACTAAGAAGACCATTCTCCTTGATGTAGATAACAAAAACTTAAGGAAAAAAATTTAAGTAATTCTGAAATCCCCCTGCTATCTGTTATCCCTACATCATTTGCCCTAAACTAGAAGTGGCATGAACCCCTGCACAAATGCTGTCTTTCTTCCATTTTGTGGAATATATGTGCTAGTATATACTGTGAGTATATGTGCCTAGTATATGTGCTATAACATACTAGGAGTATATGTGCTAGTATATCTGCTAAAATATATTTATTTCACTGGCCAGTCAACATACCCTTTCTGGTTTTCCTCCCTGCTCCAAATACAGCTTTAAACCCCTCCTTCCATTGTTCTCAGAACAATAAAATTAAGCTTCAGTATTCCTGAGCTGCAGTCTCTAGGACTCTATGCCACCTTGAGGGATGCAATCATGTGGGATTGTGCGGAGCAGTTTAAACAATTTGAATGCAGTTGCAACTCAGCACATAGTACAAAAACTGCTCTGAAAATCAAAGAACCAAGTAAATAAAGGTACAGAGCAGATAACGAAACACCTGTGAAACAGTCCCCTGTGCATATAACCGGGAAATGTACAGCATGAATAGCCCAGGGAAGCAGATGCGTAACACCAGGCTTATAAGCATGAAAACATGGCCTGAGTAAATAATTCTGATTTGGCTTTTGGTACTCACTGACAGTTCTTTATTCAGCTGAGGGGGCACCACATTGTTCCTTTAGCAGCATCTCCATTATTCTAATTCCCTATAGAGAGAAGAAAGAAAAATCAAAATGCCGTATTTCACGAACAAGTGCTTTTACATTTATCACAACCTTTCCCCTTCAAGGATTCCAAGTCATGGCCATATATTCATTTCAGAAAAGTAGGCTCATAGTCACATCTTACATTTTTATAATAGTCTACTCATCAATTTCACATACATTATCTCCACATGTCCTCAGAACTACTCAGGGAAGTAGGCAGAGTTTAGGATCTCAATCTTAAACATAAGAAAACAGTCCAACAGAAGTTAAGTAACTTCTTGAAAGTGGCCCGGCTATGAAGTGGCATTGCCAGAGCTGGAATAACAATGGTGACAGCTAATATTTATTGAACACCGACGATTGTGCTACACCCGCTGCTAAGGTTTCATGTGTGTTAGCCTGGGTAGCGGGTGCCAGGTGCACTGATGAGATCCCCTCTGAGACACAGGCACTTACTCCTTCCCCCTCATCCACCAGCACTGTTGGCTGCTGCTAGCACACGGCTACCCTCAGCCAAAGGGAGCTGCCCTACCTGAGGCTATGTCTTCTCTCCAGGAGCAGCCCACATCCAGTGACTGTTGGAGTACAGAGGTCTAAATGCCTGGCCGCCTCCCTCAATTCAGGACAACTCTGAGGGGCATCGCAATCTCCAGCTCCCCATAGGGTCAGTGGAGACCTTCATCACTGTTGCGTCGAAGTTCAATGTCACCTGCTACCTAACCCTGCTCCCCTTGCTGCATCACAAGGGCTGTTCCTGAGCGTCCTCTCCTGTGACGCTCTGCACGCAGATCTCGGTCTGAGTGTGTCCCCACATCGACTTAGGGCGCCTTGTTTAATACACACAAAACCCTGCCTAAGCACTTTCTGATGAGGAAACAGAAACTCAAAGAGGTGTAGTTAATTTGCCCAAGGTGTCCAGCTATTAAGTAATAAAGCCAGGGAAAGATCGGAAGCATGCTACTCTGGTTTCAGAGGCCACCCCTCAACCTTCTCAAGATGTTCACTCTGCTAACCGTACATTTTAAGCTGTCTACCCATTCACCCAGGGCAGTCAAATCCTACCCTGGAGGAAAGAGGAAAACAGACATTCCCCCTTTCCTCCTTCAAGGACAAGTTCTGCAGACCAGAGGATAAACCTTCAGATGCAAAGACAAGAATATGATGTCATTATGAACTAGGGTCTTAAGGAAGTCGAAGCTAGATCCAGGGGGCATGGGACTCAGGGACCAGAAAGTGTTTAGAGAGAATAATCACGGTCGAAGCTAACTTAAAATGCAGGCTCTCACGCCCCTCGCAGGAACACTTTGATTTAACGGGACTCAAGTAATGAGCGCCCAGATGATTCTCACGATCAGGTGGTGCTGAGAAACACTGAATGGGCCTACAAGAGAAAGGAAGGGACTTCCTATTTGGGTTTGTTCCGCACCACGGGAGAAGGATGCATCTCCAGAGAAGACACTAACATGTATCCAGTACTAAAGTGCACTGAAAAAAACGTTATGTGTCCTTGAACGTTCAGAAGGCCCTTCAGATTCTCGGTGGACATCACCACAAATGCTGTCACTGTCTCGGAAGGAAGAAGTATTACTTAAAGGATCTTGACAGAATGCCAAGAAGCATGAACTATAATTGTTGGTTGAACCAAAGCAGCAAACTGTAGGACCAGGCACGCTGTCGTCGGAGTAAGAGATCTGGGTCACATCTCTGCCAGTATTCTCCTGGGTGCCTTATGCTAGTCACTTTTACTAAGAAGTAACTTAAGACCAGAGAGCTCATGGGATTGCAAGGCTGATTGGATGGTGCTTTCCACACCAAGCTGTATATCAGAATTGCTAGGAACCCACAAAAACAAATACAGATTCCCAAGCCCTATCCAGACTGACTCAATCAGAACGTCCAGTGCTGGGGCCTGAAATCTGTAGATTTATAATATATCTCATGGGGTTCTAAAGCACAATTTGTAAATAAATGGCAGCTTGACCCCACTGCTGATTGGATGGTGCTTTCCACACCAAGCTGTATATCAGAATTGCTAGGAACCCACAAAAACAAATACAGATTCCCAAGCCCTATCCAGACTTACTCAATCAGAACTTCCGGTGCTGGGGCCTGAAATCTGTAGATTTATAATATATCTCATGGGGTTCTAAAGCACAATTTGTAAATAAATGGCAGCTTGACACCACTTCCAAGATGCCTTCCAACTCTGCCAGTCTGGGGATTGATGAAATGGTTCTCCTTAACCTTGTGTGAAGCTATGGTATATACCTGTACTTCTTAGAGCTACCCACCTTTTAAAGAATTAGGGGGAAAAGGAGAGCGGGGAGGGGTAAAACAACCAGTGGCACGAAATTCAATCTAAGACCAGAACTGTGCCCGTTTCTGCTCTCATTCACTCGACAACAGATTCAGCCAACAAATATTTACTGTGCGCCATGTACACAGGAGATTAAAGGGTGAGCAAACGAGATAAAATCCCTGCCCTCATCTAGGTTACAGTCTAGTGGATTTCTTTCCCCAGTTTCACTTTTTGTTGTTGTTTCAACAAACTCCTAGACAACACTTAGATGCCCTCCTTCTATTTTCAGGAAGATTAAAAACTGCCATGTTAATCCCGTTTCAAGCTTCTTTTTGCAGAGGAGGCACGTAAATCTAGATGTTATGTCTTTAAAGCCAGAAAAGCACACTGCTTCCTAGGAAGGAAGCACTGGTGAAATCTCCCCATTCGTCTAAATTAGGAACCCACCGCTTACTGAGCTGAACACTAATTGACATAAGTGAAGACTCTCAGGTTTGCCTTGAGAATTGAAAGACGTTATTTATTGAATCAATTACGTTCACATGTGACAGATGATTTCCCTTTTTCTCCCTCTCTCATACCACTTCGGTCTTTTTAAGCAGAACAGCTAGATATAGAAGGTGGGAGAATGGGGGCAGAGAGAGAGACCTGGACAGTGAATTTAAGAAAAAAAAAAACACTAACAGGAAGGCCAAACCATTATTTAGTATCTGTTTGGTAAAGAAGAACCAATCAAAGCCCAATCGATATAGTCCTTTCAAACAAAGTTCCAGCGCTTAAAACTCAACCTCCAGGAGATCAGGCTTAAAGGGGCTAAATTTATACCACTTATCACACAATGATGCCCGAAATGCAGAACAAACATTAAGTGGATCCACCTTTATAGATATGGCTTAAAAGCTTTTTGGACCAACAAACCATAAACCAGCTTGATTTTATTATTTCTTTCCCCTCTGAAGATTTTTTTCTCTCTCTCTCTCTTACAAGGCTATCTTTCTCTACTTGCCGACGGACAGGTAAATGAGCTCTTCAGTCTCATTTCCCTAACTCCAGAGCTCTGCTGGCCAAATGCATCCCCACAAAGAAGCCGAGCCTTCCAGAAACAAAACACTTCACAAATTCCCCACTCTAAGAGTCTCTGATAGCCGATTATTATGGAAAATGAAAAGCTTGTCTGAAGGGAAGGCGGAATAAGTTAGAACTAAAGGTAGCCAGATCCAGATAGTATACATTTACTTTTGTTATCAAAATAATGCTTCCTTGAGCAGCTCTGATTTACCTAGGAGGCTCCAAAGAGAGTAATATTATACCTTATAAGAATTACAAAGCAGTCCTCAAAAGACACATCTATGGGGCACTCTGAATAAAAGAGAATTGCTTGCTTAATTATCATGATGGAAAAGATTGGTGTTAAAGACATCCACTGGAAATAATGCTTTCTTGCAGGTCATGGTTTTAGAGTAGGTACCATCAACGGTATCGGGGTCCTTGTATGTAAGGGAATGCACACTGATGCTGTGAGAAACAAGGATGCACAGAAGATATGAAGCCTCTACTCAAGGGGTCACTGGTGTCTTGGGAGGAAATAGAGGCATGCGAAAAAACTAAAAGGCAAGACAGCCTCTGAGCTACTCTGTTCAACCCAGTTCTGGTTTAGAAAAAAAAAAAAAAAGTACAGCTCGCTGCCAGTGTTAATTTAATTTTACATAAACATGCTCTTTGAGGCTGAAGCAAATCCGACTGGTTTTCCAATGTGAAAATAAAATATAAAAACTGTTCTTGGAGTTATTTCTAAACAGAACCTGTCTCTAATCCTAATGTAACAGAAATGTATACAGAAGTCGGATTCATCAAATGACTCTTCGGCTAATAACAATTCGAGAACGATGTTAACATCACGCGTAGGAATGCTACATTTTCTAGGATTTGACATTTCCAGAGATCGAGAATTACTAGATTTTGTAAATGCAAATACCACTACTAAAACTAAAATGCTATAAATAGAATCATATCATTTGTTTCCAAAGACTATCGATACACTAGAGCAATGCGAATATAATAATAAAAGCGAGATATTTCATGGCAAATTTGGGGGGTGAGGTTAGGACTATGATCCACGAGTTATCTCTGAGTAAACGCTGCAGTTTTAAGTGCCGCCGGCAAGTATTCTCGGGGCAAACGGGAAACGGGTTAAAAGAAAAAAGTTCAACGGAAGAAGGAAAGTAGAGACTTAATCTTGCGGGAAGGGAGGACTTGCAGAAGCCACTGGTAGAGAAGAGATCTGAGTCGGACCCAAAGTCTGGTCCTGAGTGTGACAAACAGAGATGAAGGGAAAGAACAAGCACGGGGAGGCCGAAGAAAAGGTGTGAGGGTGGGAACGACAGTGCGCGTGCAGTTAAGCAACTGTCTTCCTGAAGGACGGGAAAGTGGACTGGATGTAGCAGGAGATGAGACTTCACTTCCAACCTTTCCGCCCACCCCATTCTCCACCCTACACACACACCCTTACTCTCACCTTAGCTCTGCTCTTTCCCGAAAGAGAGGACAGCACATAACACATCCCTGTATTGCCACAAATGGCACTTTAATTATGCAAATAAATTTGAGAGATTTAGGGTCAAGTCCAAGCTAGTCATGAAACCTTGGGCATTTGGCTTAACATTCTCTAATCTGCAACTGCCTCATCTTCTAATGGAAATAA